CATGGCAGAGGAGCAGAAAGAACGGCAGCCCAGCCTCCCCCCGCCAGTGGGGCTCCCAGAAACAGGCCGGGAAAGATGAGGATGCTCCCCGCGAGCCCCTGGGGCCACAGCTTCAAAGGGGCAGCAGGGGCGGGGAGGGGAGGCACCTGAGGCCGCTGGGCCTGCAGGAGCCTTGTCGGGAGCCCTGCCTAGGCCTGTCTGGGAATGTGGCTGCGCGGGTGGGAGGTGGGGGCACTGGGCAGGAGGAGGGAGCTCGGCGGCTGGGCCCGGTGCTCTCCTGGACAGCAGGCTGTGGCATCTCCTTTCTCCTTGAGGAGGGCGGGGGGGAGGCGGGTCAGCTGTGGATGCCCCTGCAACCACCCAGGCCCTCTGCTCACACCGCAGGGACACACAGTACTTCCTGGAGGCCAGGGGCAGGCAGGGGCGCTGTCCAGCAAGGCTCAGCCTGGCCGCAGCGCTCAGAAGGGCTTGTTCCTCACCGTGGAATGAGCTGGCTCAGAGTGCCCAGACCGTCTGGAAGCTGGGAACTCGGCTCCATTGCCTCCTGTGGCCCCTGGTTGAAATACGCAGTGGTCCAAAGTCCCTCCACCACCCCTGGGTGGCTCCCTAAGGCCCCATTAGTGAGGTGCAGGGTGAGTTGAGGTGGGTGGGCTGCCTGGACCCCCCGGGGTTGGGGAGGGTCCCGGGTGCCTGTTTTCCCTCGTGGTACCAGGGCCGGGGTGATTGTGAAGCCTGCGTGGGTGCCTCGCGCGGCCCAGGAGTGCGCTGTGGAAGGAGGGCGCCGAGCGGACAGGGCTGCCCACGCTGGGGCCACAGCTAGGGGTGGGCATGAAGGGCTCGCCTCGGGCTCACAGCCTGAGCCTGAGCCCAGACTCACACCCGGCCCTCTAGGGGCGCAGTGCGGCAGAGGCGGGGCCGTGACTGCCCCCTGTAGGCCGGAACTCCCCGCAAGGGCGGTGTCTGGAGACCCCCGCTGTCCGCGGTCCTGATGTCCACTTCAGGGACCCGGCCACTGCTGGCCAGCAGCGGAGCGGACGACTCCTCGAGGCCATCCGTGCGACGGCCACTGATGCAGAACAGGGGCGGGACACCCGCCTGCCCCACGCCCTGCCCAGCCGCGGTGCGACCACCGCAGGCCCGCAGCAAGTGCCGCTCCCACAATGCACTGCGCGGGGAAATGCGCGGGAAGACGCCAAGGCGGGCCCAGAGCGCGCGGACTCGCCCTGTGAGATGGGCGGAGTGGCCGGCAGGGAGAGGGCTGTGTTTCTGCTCCTGGGGCTGGAAGCAGTGTCTGGGTGGACTCCGAAGCCTGGGTTCTGGCCCTGCCCTGCTGTGCTTCCTAAGAGGACTTGGTGCCCCAAAGGTGAGCAGCACGGGGAGACCCGCTGGTGGGCTCTGAGCTCCCGCCCCCTTTGATGTGGTAAGTTTTTTTTTTTTTTTTAATTTTTTCAATATGGAGTCATATTGCACTGAATTTCTAGGAAAATTTATTTGGATAGTGACAGATAAGAGAGAGATGAGCGGGATCTTCCATCTGCTGGTTCACTCCCCAAATGGTTGGGGCTGAGCCAGGCAGAAGCCAGGAGCTCGGAACTCCATCCGGTCTCCCACACGGTGCAGGGGCCCAAGCACTTGGGTCATCTTCTGCTTTCCCAGGTGCACTAGCAGGGAGTTGGATCAGAAATGCAGTAGCCGGGACCCAAACCAGTGCTCACATGGGATGTCAGAGTTGCCGGCATGGCTGAACCTGTGGCATTACAATGGCAGCCCCGCATTTGAAAAATTCTATTTATTTATTTATTTATTTATTTATCTGGGAGAGGGGAGTGAGGGAGAGGGAGAATGCTCCCATTCAGTTGTTCATGCCCCAAGTACCTGCAGCAGTCTCAGGCCAGGGACTAAAGGCAGGAACTCAGTCCAGGCTTCCTGCTGGGGTGAGGGGGACCCAACTGTGTAAGCCATCACCTGCTGCCTCCCAGGGCCTGCGTTAGCAGGAAGCTGGATCAGGAATCAAACCGCGGTTCTGCAGTACAGGACACAGGTGTCCCCGCTGCTGTCTTAACAGCTAGGCTGTTCCACTTGTCTGATTACCCTGTGGGGCGCGCTCGAGAGTCTACGGGGCTTCCCAAGGAGCCAGCCACCGAACGACCAGAGCCCTGCCCACGCGGCCACCAGTGGGAGCGCTGGGAGGGGCGGGATGTCCACCGTTCCCGAGGGAGGAGGAGACCGCGAGGGCAGCAGCAGAGAAGGGCGCTGCTCCCAGCTGGGCGGATGCCGTGGCGATAGCCCGGAATCCGCTTCGATGATGAGACCGCGGGCTGCAGTGAGCGCGTTGCAGGAAGGCACAGTGGACCAGCAGAGAGGCCTGAGCCCAAAGCCCTCGCTCTCCCTTCTCCGCGCTTGCTCTAGAGCAGCCCCGCAGAGATGGAGTCTGAAAAGCTATGGCTGTGGGCAGATGGGAAATTTACGGAGGTTTTGCCTCCGCCATCAACAGAGCAGAAAGCATGGAAGATCTCCTGTCTCCTGCACCTGTGCACGGGCCGTGCTCACAGAGCAGCCAGCGGCTGGAGACCCGTTTTCCTCTTCTACATCTCTCCTGGTTCTTGACTGGAAGCACACTTTGCTAGGTAGTCTGGGTCTGCTTGCCTGCCTGTAGGCTCCGCGTCTGACGTCCATGCGACTCCTCGCTCTCGCGCTGGGAGCAGCACCTGGCCCTTCCCGGGCAGCCGCACGGGGACGGCTGCGTGTGCATGAGTGTGTGCAGCCAAGGCCCGCCCGCGACGCTTCCTCCCCCCTCTCCGGGCACGTGGCTGCGCTCCGCGTTTTCCTTCCGGCACACAGGCCGGAGGCTGGCGTGGGTCTGCATCGCTCGGCCAGCTTCGAGGATGCCTGGCCCTGGCCCTCAGGCAGTTCCTCGTCTCTGCACAAGCTCCCTTCCTCCCACAGAAGCTGGATTGTGGTGGGGTAATAGTGCTTTCCGTGCAGCCCCGAGTGAGGCTTACAAAGGTTTGAGAACAGCGCTGGCCTAGAGTGAGGACTCGTAAGTATGTGGTCTGAGAGTCAGAGGCAGCGAGGCCTCCCTTGCACTCCTCAAATGCCCTCCACCACACTGGGCTGAAGCCAGGGGCTGGGAACTAAAGCCTGGCTTCCATGTGGCTGGCAGGGGCCCAGCTCTTTGAGCTGTCTCTGGCTCTGCATTGGCAGGAAGCTGGAATGGGGACTTGGAGCCCGGCACCCTGTCCCATATGGGACACAGCATCTTAGCTGCTCTGCCACACGGCCACCCCAGCAGCAGCAGCAGCAGCAGTGGCCTCATCATTGTCCCAGTGCTTGGTGGGTCTCAGAGGGTGCTCTGGAATCCAGGCCTCGCCCTCCCTGTCCCTGGTCCCCCGCCAGGGTGACCTGCGCCCCACTCCCTTTGGCCTCTCCCAGACAGAGTCCATAGACTCCCCAGAGGTCGTGCAGCTCTCTAAGTGGCTGTCCCCAGGGTCAGTCCCAGGAGTGGCCAGGTCACCTGGGCCCACCTGCCCTGCTTCCAAGGAGCTGCGTGGCTTGGTGTCTTCTGGCTGAGGGCCCAAGGGGAGCTGATTGAGAGGGCTCCTTGCGAGCTGTGTGTTCACGCCCCAGCTCCTCTGAAACCCTGTGCGTTCCCTCATGTCCCTCAACTCCACATGGTGCCGATGACCTTGAGGACGAAGCCCAGTAATGGTTTTCATTGGCTGATTGATTCACTTTTTTTCCAGCTGCTATTAATTTGCAGAAATCGCCCTCCAGTGGGTCCTGTCGGAGCCGGGGCCATTCTGGATGGCAGCGAGTGGGAGAGACAGAGAGAGAGGAGAGGGGCCGCTCCAGGCACCGCCGAGGTAGGGGCACTCTCCTGCAATCCTCCTTCTTCCTTTCCTACTTAAAAAAAAAAAAAAAAAAAGGCATGAACTAATGTGACAACTGCAGTCCTCTCCTCTTTACTAAAAAAAGCACACAAACCACATTGTAACAACCGTAACAGAAATGTTGCTTTAATCACCCCTAATCCCATCACTCAAGCAAATCAACTGTTTTTAATCTTCCCTTGCCTAATCTTCCCAGAGCCTGTCTGCAAGCAGATATTTTTTTTCAACAGCTATAATCATAATACGATTTTGTGCTCTGTTTCCCTCTCGTTTCTTAACCCTTGCTCCGCATTGCTGTAGTCTTCATGGGTGTCACTTTTTTAAAGTTTGTTTTTTGAAAGGGAGACAGCAGAAGGCAGGGTAGACAGAGGTCTTCATCCTCTGGTTCACTCCCCCCAAATGCCTGCCACAGTCAGGGCTGGGCCAGGCTCAAGTGAGGAGCCTGGAACTCTGCCTAGGTCTCCCCCGTGGGAGGTTCTTGAGTCGTCATCACCTGCTGCCTCCCAGGGTGCACATGAGCAGGAAGCTGGATCAGAAGCAGAGGAGCGGGACTTGAACCGGGCACTCCACTATGGGGCGTGGCAGCCCAAGCAGTGGCTCGACCTGCTGCTCCACAGCGCCCTCTCTGGGTAGCATCTTTAATAGCTCACGCAAAGCCATCAAAGGGTATTCTGGAATTTACTTAGCACCACCCTGAATGGCCACTGATTTGTTATTTGGAGGAGCCAAAATTAGCTAGGAAAACAAACCTGTAGGTGGTGTCTGTGATTTCTCAGCATGATTGATCTGTAGAGAGCTGGGGCATTAAAGCACTTTGTTGGGGAGCAACCTTCCCCGGGCAGCATCCCGGGTGTCCAGTGGGACTTGCTGCGTCTGAGGCTGGGGAGCACTGGGAGTGGAAGGCGGTCAGGCGCCCGATCTCTGTGCCACTTCCACTGTGGCAGGGATAACAAAGTAGGAGCCAAGCAGGAGGCTTCCCAAGGATGCGTGCATGCTGTGAAGCCCACTGGAGCCGTGGGCTAAGGGAGGGAGCCAGGAGCCAGTCTGGGTGGTGTGGCTAGGAGTGCTTTGCTGGGGAAGGGGCAGGGGCCTAGGAAATAGCCAGGTGCAGATGTTCTGGGCAAGCTCAGAGCGCTTATAGGAAATAGGAAGTGCAAAAGCCCAGAGGTAGCAAACAGCCAGGTGGGTTGCAGGAATAGAAGGCAGACCAATGGGCTGGATTTCATTTGAGGTTCAGCATTAGCAACTCTTAAAAGAGACAGTCCACTGAGACTCATGGCCTGCTTTGCCATCCTCAGAGTCCTCCATTTGAGCTGTTTGTCCTGTGGCTCAGAAGCCACCGCCGCCGTGCCGTGACGGGCACCTGTGTCTGCAGACACACACATGGGGCTGGCGCTGTGGGGCAAGCCGTGGCTCTTGGCCATGCCGTGCTCCCGGCAAGCCCTGCGTCTCCTCCACCTCGCGGTTTGTTTATGTTTCTGATCGCTGCATCCTCATTAGGGGCAGTTAACAGATGAAAATCGCACTGCACGGACCTGCAAAGTGGTAAATGACGCCAGTGTTTACTTTCTGGTTAGCAGCCTGAGTGCGAGGATTTGCCTGTGGTTATTCAGTTGGAGAAAGCTGCTTTCGTTAAGGGCTTCCAGCGAAACGCACCATTAGCTAGGAGACAGGCAGCTCTCATCGCTGGGTGCTGATGGACGGTAGCCGGCTCCAAGGTCTCACCTGTGAGAGACGGGGCCGCTGCTTCGTCCTGCCTGGGCCCAGGGCTGATCCAGGTGTGCGTAGCTGTGGGGCCGTGCGGGCTGCCTAGGAGAGCCCCTTGCCAGCAGGCTTGTCTGCTCCCACGCTCAAGCTCCAGGCCTGTACCCTGGCCAGTAGAGGGAATGCTCTTGGGGGCTTCTAGGGGCTTGCCAGCCCTGACTGCCACCAGGTGCTACCTGGAATCCACACGGTAATGAGGGCCATGTGGGCGGTTTTTGAAGAGAGTCTCATGCTCTGTCCTTTTTCAAATTAAATTTTTATTCTGAGGTCATTGTAGAGTCACCTGCTTGTTCTAAGAAGTAATACAAGGAGTCCTTGCACCCATTTCCCAGTTTCTTCCACTTGCCGCAGCCCCTGGCAATTGTCTAGGACGATGGGCCAGGACACTGACCTTGACACAGCCTAAGTAGGGACTTTGCCAGAACACCTGCCTCCTCCCTGCTGCACCCCTCCTTAACCTCCGTAACGCGCGGCTCGCCAGGCCTGTCCCTGGGTCCTGTTGAGGACGCTGTGCGAGTGCATCGTGTCCTGTACTCCTACGGGACTGATTTTGCTGCTTGGCAGAATTCTCGGGAGCTCTGCCCAGTGTCAGTCATTGATTCTGTGGTGTGGACGCCTTACTGTCTGTTTGGCCTTTCACCCACTGAATGGTGTCTGCATTATACCCGGTGTGGGCTACTCTGAACCAAGCTGCCATCAGCATTTGTGTGCACGTCAGGCTGCACTTCTCTGGGGTCAGCGCCCAGCAGGGCAGCTTCAGGTGCATGCCTGGTCTTTTGCGTCTTGGACTCCCAGAGTGGCCAACTTTGTGTATTCTCACCTTCCCTGCGCGCATCTACGCCGCGTGGTTTCTGCAGACGGCATTTGGTGCCGTCACTGTTTTCCGGTTTAGCCGTGTCGATAGTGTGTGGTTTTCATGTCATAGGTTTGGCTTCACCTGACGGTGAAGTGGCTCCTGTTGCCTTTTGTTCATTTGTCATCAGGCTGTTGACTTCACTGCTGAGCCGCGCGACACTTCTGCGGCCCCAGCGACAGTCCCCTGTCGGTGCGCGGTCTGCCAGTTCCTTCTGCTCTGGCGCTTGTGCTCTGGTCCTCTTAGCCCCGTCGCCTTCCGAGCCATTGGTTCCATGTTGGTAAAGTCCAGTTTATCAGTTGTTCTTTTTGTGAATTGTGCTTATGGAGTCAGGTTGGAACATGGCCAGATTTCCCAAAGATTTTCTCCTTTTCCTCCCTACAAGTTTGGAGGTGTTAGATTTTACATTTAGGCTGGTGCCGCAGCTCACTAGGCTAATCCTCTGCCTTGCGGCGCCAGCACCCCAGGTTCTAGTCCCGGTTGAGGCGCTGGATTCTGTCCCGGTTGCTCCTTCTCCAGGCCAGCTCTCTGCTATGGCCCGGGAGTGCAGTGGAGGATGGCCCAAGTGCTTGGGCCCTGCACCCCATGGGAGACCAGGAGAAGCACCTGGCTCCTGCCATTGGATTAGTGCGGTGCGCCAGCCGCAGCGCGCCGGCTGCGCAGCCATTAGAGGGTGAACCAACGGCAAAGGAAGACCTTTCTCTCTGTCTCTCTCTCTCACTGTCCACTCTGCCTGTCAAAAATAATAAAAAAAAAATAATAAAAAAAGATTTTACATTTAAGTGGGGAACTTGGGTCAAGCCTCATTTTTTTTCTCCCTCATGGATGTCTTTGGCCAGCGTCATTTGTTGAGAAGCTGATCCCCCCTCTACAGCCCTGGGTCTCCACGTGCGACAACGCCGGGCTGCATGTGTGCACCTCCTTCTGAGTCCCAGCTTCTGCTCTGCTGCTCCATCGCTCGCTCTCGCTGCCAACAGCGCCTGGTCTTGATCGCTGCAGCGCCACAGTCTTTACATCGGGGAGAGTTCCTCCTCCGTTCTAAATTCTTTTCCAACTTTGCTTTACTGATTTTAGCTCCTTTGTCTTTCTATATAAATTTTAGAGGAATCTTGCCTATTGCTGCAAAATAACTTCCTGGAATTTCATATTGTATTTTTTAAATGGAACAGCATGTGTTTTGGATATTATTTTTTAACAGCCTGAAGCTGAACCAGTAGCAAGGAGCACCCAGCGTCCACTCGTCCACGCGTGCTGACCTTCCCCTAACAGTAAGCACAGTCCTGTGTTGCCATGGCAAGGGTTCTGTGACACGCTCTTGCAGAGACACATGACGTCATTTATCTGGTGCCTTTGCTGGATACTTAAGGGGTTTTCCTTTTATTTTGCATTTGCTGTCTCCTGTAATGAACAATGCTGTGATTAATATGTTAAAGCCATGTCTCTGAAAATAGATTCGGTTACTTCTTTAGGGACGACTTCTTGGAGTGAAATTGCTGATTTCTTCTCTTTTTTAAAAAAAAAAAAGATTTATTTACTTATTTGAAAGGCAGAATGACAGACAGAGAGAGACCGAGACAGGTCTTCCATCATCTGGTTCACTCCCCAAATGGTCACAACAGCCAGGGCTGGGCAAGGCAAAGCCAGGAGCCAAGAGCTCCATCCAGGTCTCCCATGTGGATGGCAGGGGTCCAAGCACACAGGCCAGCTTCTGCTGATTTCCCAGGTGTGTTAGCAGGAAGCTGCATCAGAAGCGAAGCAGCCCAAACTTGAACTGGGGCCCATACCGGGATGCTGGTGTCTCAGGTGGCGGCTCAGCTACCGTGCCACCACACCACTCCCCCTGATGTCTTCTTGTCTTCTGTTTTTCTGACCTCAGAAGGATACCAAGCTCTTAAGGCAAAGCTAGTGTTTCCTCCTTAGTCTGGGCACATCTGCCTCTGACTTGCAGTGCCCCGCCCTCCATACCCCAGAGCTGGACAGGAGCGGGGCTGGACAGGAGAGAGGCTAGAGTGGAGGGGGCTGGAGTAGAAGGGATGGAGTGGAGGGAGATGGGGTGGAGGGGATGGGGTGGAGGGGATGGGGTGGCAGTGGCTGGAGTAGAGGAGGCTAGGGTGGAGTGGGCTGGGGTGGAGGGGTGGAGGGGGCTGGGGTGGAGAGGGGATGGGGATGGGGTGGAGAGGGGATGAGGATGGAGTAGAGGAGGCTGGGGTGGAGAGTGGGCTGGGGTGGAGGGGTAGAGGGGGCTGGGGTGGAGAGGGGATGGGGATGGGGTGGAGGGGTGGGGTGGAGGGGATGGAGTGGAGAGGAGATGGGGTGGAGAGGATGGGTGAAGGGGATGGGGTGGAGGGGCTGATGCAGAGGGCTGGGGTGGAGGGGGATGGAGTGGAGGGGTGGGATGGAGGGAGATGAGTGTAGGGGCTGATGCAGAGGGGGATGGGGTGGAGGGGATAGAGTGGAGGGGATGGGATGGAGGGGTGAGGTGGAGGAGTGGGGTGCAGGGGATAGAGTGGAGGGGATGGGGTGGACTGGGAGCTGCTGTCTTCCCTCAGCTCTGTTCTTAATGTCTTCTCTTAGGCGTCCCCTGGGGTCAGAGCTGTGTCCTGTTTCTAACCCCAGATGCAAAACACATGGGCCTATGCCTTACTCTCTGGGAAGAGACATTTGTCTGGTGGCTCTCTGGGGGTCCCTGGAGCCTGCTGTGGACTCCCCCTCTCAACTGTCACTTCAAAGGCCCTCCCCCACCCTGAGGAGCCTGTGACTATTTTAGGAAAATTCTTCAAAGGCTTCAAAAAGTAATGGGATAGTTTTCTGGGCTGCTTGTTAAAATTCTTGAATATGTTTAAGGGATTTACATTTTCAAAGAGAGAATGTTTTCTGTTTGATGTTGAGAAAAGATTTTTTTTCTTTGCTGTGAATTTAAGCAATTGGCATGGCTTCTAGTAGAAAGGCCACAGGGCTCTTGTGTTGCGAATGTGGCGTTGGGTAGAATCCTCAGTGACTGGCTGCGGGCACAGCGTGTGTGAACGATTCTGAAATGCATTTGCAAACCAGCGCCATCTGTAAGCTCTCAGCTTGCAAATGGCTGCTTTCTAGCGTGGAGAAGCTTCATGTGTTTAAAGGAACGTGCCACAGAAAGTCAGAAATGACAGTTGTCCGTGGCCATGAAGGATGAGCTGCCTGGTGCCTTCTAGAAGGCACGGAACCAGCCTTCCCCCTGGTGGATAACCAGGGAAGTGCCGCCCTTTCCCTGAGAAGCTGCGCGCGGGGGCTTTGCCTTCTCCTTTTATATAAAATTTGTGTGAAAGTGCTTATGCACATCTGTAACAGCTAACTGGCTTTATAACTGGTACTTTAAATAACACAACATGAGCTAAAAAGGCGATGTTATATAATTTATATAAAGTATGCATACAAAATTATATATGGTTAATATATTCAATTAATAATTATAGATTTCAGGGCTGGTGTTGTGGTGTATCAAGTTAGCTTCTGCCTGCGATGCTGGCATCCTATATGGGTGCTGGTTCCAGACCCAGCTACTCTACTTTCAATCCAGCTCCCTGCTAATGTGTCTGGGAAAGCAGCGCAAGATAGCCCAAGTCTTTGAGCCCCCACATTCATGTGGGAGACCTGGAAGAAGCTCTGGGCTCCTAGCTTTGGCCTGGCCCAGCCCTGGCCATTGTGGCCATTTGGGGGGAGTGAACCAGTGGATGGAAGATCTGTTGATCTCCCTCCCTCCCTCCCTCTCTCTCTCTCTCTCTCAAATAAATAAAATAAATAAATAAATAAAAATATTTCTTTGAAATTGCTGGTATCTTCTTTTTTAAGAGATTTCATTTATTTAGTTGAAAGGAAGGTGACAGACAGAGGTCTTCCATCATCTGATTCACTCCCCAAATGACTGCAATAGCCAGGCGTGTGCTGGGCTGAAGCCAGGAGCCAGGAGCTCCATCCATGTCTCCTGCGTGGGTGGCTGAGGTCCAAGGTCATCCTTTGTTGCTTTCCCAGGCACATTATCAAGGAGCTGGATCAGAAGTGGAACAGGTGTAATTTAGTGTTTCCTGTCTTGCACCCTGAGCAATGGACATCTTTGTCAGTGGAGTCGTTCCTCTCCCTATCCCTCCCTCCCTCCCTCTCTCTCTCTCTCTCTCTCTCTCTCTCTTCCTTTCTATCCCTCTCAAAGATTTTTTTCTTTTTGTTTGAAAAGGCAAGTTACAGGGAGAGAGAGGAAGAGATCTCATCCATCCTTTGGGTCACTCCTCAAATGGCCACAGTAGCCAGGGCTGAACCAGGCCAAAGCCAGGAGCCAGGAATGCCCTCCAGGAGTCCCACGTGGGAAGTAGGGGCCCAAATACTTGGGCCATCATCTGCTGCCTTCCAGATGCGTTAGCAGGGAGCTGGATCCGTAGCAGAGCAGCCCTTGAACTGGGATTCCCATATGGGATGTCAGCATTAGCATCTTGACCTTGCTGGGCCGTGGCGCCCATTCTCATGGCCCCATGAGGCCTTGTAGACTGACAGGTTCAGCAGTACAAGCAGGTAGCCACAAGGAGCGAGCATGAGGCCTTGCAGGGGAGGTACGAGGAATCGTGTTGGCATTTGCAGGAGGCTGCCCTAGTGTGGACACCACTCTGAGTCTTTGCTCTCTGCCTGCCATGGCCAGCTTATGCTGTTTTCCCCATGACACAGCACAGGGACCAGAGAGAGGCTAAGGGCCTTATCCTGGCTTAGAGTCACACAGCTGCTGAGAGGCAGAGCTGGGGTAGGAAGGGAAACTGGCATTGCCCCAAATCCCTGTGCCTTGGTACACCAGAGGGTCAGAGGCAGACATTGTGGTGGGCCACAGGGAGGGCTCTGGAGAGGCTGCAGGTGTTGGGGCAGGAGCAAGGCGGGCTCCTGACCTCAGAACGCCATGGCTGTTCCTTCCATAGCAGCCTGAGAACAGGGCAGAGTGGTGAGAGCGCCTGCAATGGGCAGACTTAAGTCCCGCTCGCTAGGTTCACCTGTTAAGCTTCCAACCCCAGGCACCCCGAATGTGAGCGTTTGGAGGTAGAGACAGGGAAGAGGCAGGTAAGTCAAAGTGGGGTCGCAGCGTGGCGCTCTATGATGGCTGCCCAAGCACAGCTTGCTCAGGAGGGCCTTGGCGTGCTCGTGAATCCACCTCAGAGGCGGGATATCTGGGTAAACAAACAAACAAACAGGCTCCGCCCTTTTTCCTTGTGGCTGTTCTGTAAAGGATACATTTTAATAGGTACCTACATAGCATTTCTGCTGGGCTGTGATGCGCCGTATGCTAATTCTGCACCTGAGCATAGAAGCCACTTTCCGAATCCTCAGCAGGCCTGGGACCACTGACTGCAGAGCACTCCTGACCTTCCAGAAGGTTCCTTGGAGAAGCAGTGTTTGCTGCTGGCTTCTCGGGGTGTGAGGGAGCTGCCAAGCAAGGAGGCACGGAGCAGGAACCTGGCGGGTGTACTGGGGTGCAGCCAGTGCAGGACATGTGGAGTAGGGTGCTTGCTTGCCAGGAAGGCTTGGGATGCCGGGCTGGAGGGTTTGGAGGTGGATCCCTTGGCCAGGAAGCATCATCAAAGGTTTTGAGCAAAATAAGAATTTTAGAAGAAGCCTGGCGGTGTTGGGTTGGGGAGTGTTCGAAGGTCAAGTCCAGTTGAGAGAAGTCGCTGCCATCTAGGATCTGAGTCAGGGTCAGGATGAGCGCAGCCAGGATGGGATTGGGAAGAAATCCCTGGGAGGGTCACGTGTAAGGGGTCCAGGTGGCCCGTCTGACAAATGAGAGACTGGGTGACCAGGGCCCGGGCGGGGGTGGGGGAGGGTTGGAGGGAGGCACTGAGGTAAGTGCTGTAGCGCCCTCGGGTGGCTTCCCAGCTTGTTAGGACTGTCACCTGCAAAACCCCGAATTTGAGTTGTCGCAGTGAACAGCCGCCCTTACGTTTAAATCACAGGTTTGTCCTCCTGACCCCGCCTCTCAGCTCTTACCTGAGGGCTGGCAGGCAGCTCCGCTGGCTGAGTGGCCGGCAGGGAGAAGGAAACATGTCCTTGGTGCTGGCAGGAAGCAGAGACAGGCGGGAGAGGTGCTGGGCAACGTGCCCGATGCCACGGGTCCCCAGGAGCTTTAGCATGGCCCTGCTGGGAGAGAGGCTAGCATAGGGACACGCAGGAGTGCTCTCTGGGAGGGAGGGGGATGCTGGGAGCAGGCGAGAGGAAGATCCTGCCTCTGATGGACCCAGCGTGCGGTTCGTGCCCAGAGGCACCGGGCTGTGCTCCAGCCAGGCAGCCGTGGCAAACGCTGGGCACTTTTGGTGAACAAACACAGCCCCTGCCCACCAGAGGCACAGATGTGGAGGGTGTAGGTCTCCCACTTCCCCATGGGAAACCAACTTGCACGTGAACCGGGATCTGCCTGCTGCGGGGCTGCAGGTGTCGAGTCTGAATCTCTGTGCTCATGAGGCGCACGGCCGTGGCTGTGCCTGTGAGGACGTCTGTGCCCTCGCCTTCTCCGTGCCCCGCTTCCCGAATGCCATTGCTTGGGGATCTGTCCCTCTGATCCGTTCCCTGGAGGTGCAGAGAGCGCTCTGCACATGACCTCCTCCGACTCCAGCCTTCGCTCCCCTCGGCGTTCTCAGAAGTACAAGTGCACCCAGCCATGTGGGCCCCATGTGTTCCTGGAGAGCTGGGACAGTAGGTAGCACTGTCATTGCCTGCTCTGGCTGGGACAGGCCAGGTGGTCCCTGTTCCCCAGGGAAGAGGTGGGCACAGGAAGGGCTCACGGCCCTCTGCATCTGGGCTGTGCCCTGCAAACCCAGGCTCCGGAGTCAGAGGATGTAGGGCAAGGCACTGAGCTGACGAGCTGGGGAAGATCTGGACCTCTGGCCGAGCATTGCAGGAATGCGTGTGAGGACACGTTTGAAGCGTCTCCCTGGTGTGGGGCCTGGTGCTGCATGTGGCACCACCATTCTACAATCCTGATGACTCTGTCCCCTGTCCTAAGGTGAGAGGGGCCAGGGAGGCCTCAGGAGGGCTGTGGAAGGCTGGTACCTCATGGACAGCTGGGGCCCCTGGTGGCAGGGGTCCTGCCAAACCCACGCGGGAGTTCCAGCCTCTGCCTCCCAGTCCTGGCGAGTTCCAGCTACGCAGGGAACCAGGAGTATTTTCTCCGGGGCTGTGTGGGCCTGCGATGGCCGAGGGATTGCTGTGGGAGCCTTGGGCCCCTGACTGTCATGGAAGCCGTGAGGAGGCTACAATCCAGAAGGCACCCAGAGCTTGGCTTGCATGTGAAGGAGAGCATCACACCCCAGAAAGGCCCCAGGGCTGGCTTTGCACCTGCGTTTCTACTTAAGGGCAAAGTTGAGCATGTAGGGGACTGGAGGAAGCAAGGTATGACGCCTGATTGCCTGTTTGGAATCAGTTCCACTCAGCACACCTGCAGATGCCGCGGCCATGGGGTGAGCATGGGACCCAGTGGCACCAGAACAGCAGCATTCATGGCCTAGGTTGTCAATGTTCTCTGCCCCAGTCCAGCTGAAGACAAACCATAACACATTTACTTAAATGGGCTCATCTTTTCCTTGAAAAAAAAAAAAAAAAAACTGCTCTTTTCCTGAGCAGAAATACCTGTGGAACTGTGGCTTTGATGCAAGAAATACATCTCTTCCTACATCCATTAAATGGAATGTATTTGCTAGTAGACTAAACATGGCTCATCAAGTGTCCCTGATGTCTTTTCATGTCCTGCTTTTGGACAATGGGCAGAGTAATCACATTGTTGAGCTTCAGAGTCTGAACCCCAGAAGTGGAATTCCTGTCCTGCCGTGTGCAGCAAGCTGTCCACCGCCCAGTTACACTCTTAGCCTCAGTACACCTCCTTTTCTTATCTTCTCCTGATAAGATTATTAGGAGGAAATCAGCAGAGAATAATGATGAGCGTGGCTCCTGGCATAGAACAAACCACTCAGATGTGAGTATTAGAAGTTGGCTCTGGGGACATCTGCTTCGTCCTGTTCAAGGCCTTGGTCCCAGACTGGCCCTTGCGCTGGAGGAGAAATGGGATAGATTAGGAAGCCCTTGGCTTTGGACGATGATCGAGAGTGGAAGGAGAACAAACGAAATGAGCCCTAAAGTCACCCCAGCTTCCCACCTGCAGACACCGTTTCCAATGCAAGAGTGCATTTGTCAAATCTCAAAGATCTATAGACTCAAAAGGGCAAATTTCACCGTATATAACTATACCTCAATAAAAGGCGAGAAAGACATCTGAAAACCTGAGATGGTTAGAGATACGTTTATGTAATAGTGCAGAGGATGCAGAATATTACAAAGGACAAAGCTGGCAGAGCACCCGGCTGCCATGGCAGGCACTAGATGGACAGAGGTGGTGCTCACTGGGGGCGATTTCCCCCAGGGGAGCCTCAGCTTTCGTTGTCACAACTGTGGAGGAGAGAGTGACAGACATCCCGTGAGCAGAGACAGCACTGAATACCCGCTGCGTGTGGGCCAGCCTCCTACTGCAAGGAAGGTGCCAGTAGCGTCAGGGTTGGCAAAGGCTGATCCGCAGCATTGAGCGTGGATCAGTGGAACAGAGCGAGCCCAGGCATAATCCCACAGGGAAGTGACTGATTTCTGACAAGGATGCCGGGGGAAGGGCTCTTCGACCGCTGGTGCACATTGGATATCCAAACGGAAAAAGGTCGTCTTGATCCCCAAATCAAGTCACCTCATTGAACTCCAAAGGGGTCGTAGGCCCAAGTGTAAAAGCTAAAGCTATAGAACTTAGGGAACAAAAGCTGAATTATTTACAATCCTGTGGTAGGTGATGGTTTCTTATAGTGGCCATGAAAAGCACAAATGAAAAAAAAATGACTAATTGAACTTCACTAAAGTTGAAAACTTCTGTTTCCTAAAAAGCCTTTGCTGCTAAAATGAAAAGACAGGGTGCAGGCTGGGAGGTGATAATCACAACGCGTCTTCCTGAGGAAGGGTGTGGGCGTGTAGGTGCGGAGCGCTCTCACGGCACAGGAGGAAGACAAGTAGTCCTACAAGAAAGGAGCACAATGAGGATGGTGGCCCATGACCTCCACTACTGTGACAAAGCTCCACAAAACCCAGCTACCTGAGGACTCTAATTAGAGACCAAAAAACAAACTGTGAAGGAGAGTCAAGACTTGGACATGGACAGGTGAACCATGCTGGAAAGAGAGAAGAATCTGGAAGATAGACCAGTGGAAGCCACATAATCTGCAGAACAGAGATGTAAGTTAAATGGACAAAAGCCAAATGCAGGACCTGTAGAAAAATGTTTTAAAAATCTAACACACCATTGGAGACCCAGAAGTAAACTGGGGAAAAACTGCCTGAAGAAATAAAAGCTTGAAGCTCTTCAGGTTTGGTGAGAGGCATAAGTAACAGACGCTAGAGGCGCGATGAACTCTCAGAGGGTAAAGACACCAAAGCCATGCGTAGACCACCAGAAGCTGCCAAAAACCAATGACGAAAGAAAATAGAACTGGAGAAAAGGGCCTGGGCACAGTGGATTACTAATCGCAGTGCACCCATGCAATAAAAAAGGAGCAAACTTTGGATTCATGAAACACCATGGATTAATGTTGGGCGTTGCCTTGGGCGAGAGAGGTTTGGTGGAACTCTTTTTAATTCCACTCATGCAGAATTCTAGAAAGTGGAGACTGACCTACTGTGGCAGAGAGCGGGTCTGTGGAGTTCTGGGGTGGGAGAGGAGTGGTTGTGAAAGCACTTGAAAGAAATCTTGGCTGGCACCGCGGCTCATTAGGCTAATCCTCCGCCTGCGGCGCCAGCACACCAGGTTCTAGTCCCGGCCAGGGCGCTGGATTCTGTTCTGGTTGCTCCTCTCTTCCAGTCCAGCTCTCTGCTGTGGCCCGGGAAGGCAGTGGAGGATGGCCCAAGTCCTTGGGCCCTGTACCTGCATGGGAAACCAGGATAAGCACCTGGCTCCTGGCTTCAGATCAGCGTGGTGCGCCGGCCGCAACGCGCCGGCCGCAGCGGCCATTGAGGGGTGAACCAACGGCAAGGAAGACCTTTCTCTCTGTCTCTCTCTCTCACTGTCCACTCTGCCTGTTCAAAAAAAAAAAAAAAGAAAAGAAATCTTTGTTTTCCTGGTGGTGGTGACAGTTTCTTGGGTGAACCTGTGCGAAAACGGATCACATTTTACACTTGGAGTATCTGTGGTTTAAAGCCCTTCAGGTATAAAACAATTAAGTTATTAACATGGGCGGACAGTTTGGACACTTGACGGAGGAATATACACAAATAGGCAGAATGCCCGCAGATGGCCGCTCAGTGTCCTTGATCGCAAGAGAGAACACAAACTGCTCACACCCTTGCGGCTGACGTAGGAGAAGTGAAAGCTACACACGCCTCTGAGCGCGTGAGTGGCTTTGCACGGCAGCTCATCAGTAGCACAGACAGCCAAGAGTCTACACACGGATGAGTGGGGAAGCAGGCAGGCTGTGCAGTGGTGTCGTGTGGTGTGAATGTATGTTGTGGTATATAGTATATTTGCAGTGTATAGTAATACGTAGTACAGTGTATACTCATCAACACCAGGGAGCAAATAGCAGGTGGTGACAAAGCCAGTGGCTGACGCTGGTGCTGCATGGGAGCCAGCTACACCCGGAGTGTGTACCTTGCGACTCCATTTATCCCAGGACAGGCAGAAGAACTCCATGGCATCTGGTTGCTTGGGCCTGGGAAGTGACAGAGGCATGCCCTGGGAAGAGGCATTTCTGTTGGAACCCCTGGAGTTGTTCCAGGGGGTGCATGGATTTGGGAAGGGGACACTTCATGGCATATGTAAATGCGTCCTATGTATGAGCACCAGTTCAAGTCCCGGCTGTGCCACTCTGCTGCTGATCCAGCTCCCTGCTCATGCGCCCGGGAAAGCAGCAGAGGGTGGCTCGGGTGCTCGGACTCCTGCCACCCGTGAGGGAAGCCAGGCTGGGGTTCCGGCTCCTGGCTTTGGCCTGGCCAGCCCAGGCTGCTGTGAAGTAGCAGACGGAAGAGATTCCTCTCTCTTTCTCACCCACCCCACCTCACCCCATCATTCTGCCTCTTAAATAAATAAGTCCGTTTGGAAAAGTGGTTACATAAACACAAATTAAAATAACAAGAATAACTAAAGAGACCAAACAATATGGTACTGGTACCGAGAGAGAAGGAGACCAATCAAAAAATAAATTTTGAAAACTGAGTTGAGTTTGCAGTAGTTATAGTTTAGATTGTGGCTGTTCTGGTATTTCAAATCAGGTTGGCAAAGAAATAACTTACTCATAAATGATGTTGAGCCGATCGACTAACCATTCAAAATGTAAAAATAAAATTAGAAGCTAATCTATTATGGCTTACAAATGATAAACTCCACGTGGTTAAGAGGATTCAGTCTATAAAAACCAAAAGTCAGCTGAAATGGCCCCGGGTCCTTGGGCACAGGGAAGCAGCATGGGGAGCCCTGCCCAGGCCTAGAGAACCTGGCTGGGGCCCACCTTGCTGAGGCCCATGAGGGCTGCAGGTGGTGTGCCAGGGCCCTCGGCCTCCCGCTGAGCTCTGGGCACACTCTCCAGGCTGTTTGCCTTCCTGTCCCAGCCCTGAGGTCAACTCAGCTTTTGGTGAAATGGCAGAACAGTGGTCACTGCCTGGCTGGAAAGCTTGTGCAGGGGGCCATGTGACACCACGTGGGAATTGCCCAGGGCAGTAGCTGGCACCTGGAACCTGTCACCAGTGCTAGTTTCTGCACTCCGAGTGGGGGCACCAGGCCTGGGAGAGGAACTGGGGTGGAGGCTCTGGGGGAGGCAGCAGGTGCTCTGCACAGCCAATCCTGCCCTGATCGCTCCTCTGCTCTCACGGCTGCTCCTGAGTGACTGGGGAAGAGAAGCCGCTGCCGTCGTGTGGCAGGAGCTGGCACTGAGCCTGGAGCACCCAGGGGCACACAGGTCCATGCAGCCCTGGCACCTTGCTCCTGGGACCCCCTTCCTTAGCTTCCACGGCAGGTGGTGGTCCCCCAGCAAGCCCACTGCCCCAGCCACAGACAGCTGCTCAGGTTCCAGAAGACATCTGTCCACTCTGCTTACCCCGAGTCTCTCAGGGATTAAGCTGAATGAAGAGGCAGGTGCCGGTCGCAGGTGTTTGGGTGCGGGGCCGGTGTTTCCCTGGTAACGGGGCCAGCTGGCTTTCTTGCCCGGCTCCAGGCCTTGTGACCTCATGGTGGAATCTTGGGTCTGTAGGCAGAGGGGGATTTGCCAGGGTGGAGAGGAAGCCGGGAGGGAGACACCTGCGATGGGAGCCTTTGTCTTCCAGCCAGGGGTGGAGGATCGAGTGGAGGCATGTCAGGGCTGGGGTGACTGCTGACCCCAACACGGGAGCCTCGGGGCGGTGCGCACCGTGGGAAGTGAGCCGCAGCGTGCTGAGGCCTCTCTAGGGAGTGGGCGGAGCCACACCTGGCATTCACTGGTGAAGTGGGCGGTGAGCAGTCCGGCTAGCACCCACCGATGGCAGGAAGGGTAAGGCCACTGTGAGCCCGGCAGTGGGCTTCTCTCCATAGGTAGCATGAGATGGCCCTGCACAAGCGGTGTCGAGTCCCCTCGTCCACACCACCAGCCATCCAGCCCACCTGCCCACACTCAAGGCCCAGTGTTGAGGTCCTAGGGCTGCCTGCTCAGATGACCTGAAGCCACGTGGCTCGCTTGGGGTCACAAGGGTGCATGCCACATAGCCCACGGGCTGTGAGTGTGGCCTCAGCAGGCCATGTGGGGAGGGGCTGGCTGGCTTCTCACTACCAGACCCAGGCCTCTCTGCTTCCCTGGGGCTGGCATGCGACTCCTGTGCCCCCTCTCCTGCTCCCAGGACATGGCTGGACCTTGAGTCACACTGGCAGGAAATTGGCTGGCACACAAGCCCTGTTTGATGTTCTCTTTCTGCCTTGTTCCTTCCTTCCTACCCTTCTCCCTTCTCTTCCAAAGTGTGCTGTCTACCCTGGGCCGGCCCCTCTAGGCCCTGCAGAAGTGAGCAGAGGAGCCTTGCCTCTGGGGAGTTTGTGACTGATGGATGAGAGATGCTAACCAAGCAGGGCAGTGGGTGCTCTGAACGAGGGAGTCGGGTTGATGCAGTCAGAGCCAAGGCCATGTGGCTCAGCCAGAGAGGCGAAGGAAGCAGCCTTGGACCAAGCCTGGGGGAAATGATCCCTCAGGAATAATAAAGGGAAGGGATTTGGCAGGGGCATGTGCAAAGGGCCTGTGGCAGGAGGGTGGTGGTGAGAAGAATGGAAAGGAGGCTGTGTGGCTGCAGCAAACACAGGAAAGGGGACTGGAGATGCACTGAGCACAGCAGCTAAGCTCAAGCACTGGTGGGAAAGTAGGGCAGCTGCAACAAGCCAGGAACACAGACCACACAGCCAAGGAGCCGGTCAGGGAGGGAGGTGGGGCCGGGGTCACCTGGGGCAGGTCAGGGGTGAGGGAGGCTGTTTAGACCAGAGAGCCAGCGGCAGATGGGGGTTGAGGCCCCGAGGCAGCACTGTGCTTGGCGAGGCTGAGGGACAATGGCACAGAGGCCGCCGTGTGTGGAGCAGGGAGAGGGGTAAAGAGGTGGCCGCAGGGTGGGCAGGGCCAGTGCCTGGGCTCTTAGCTGGGTTTTAAAGGCGACCCAAGGTCAGCTTGGCTGGTGTGAGACCTGTCGGCCTCCAGGGCAGGCAGGGCTTGGCGGGGGGTCGGGGGCAGCTCCCGTGGCCAGGGATGTCGAGGTGCGGTGACAGTGGGACACCCTTCTCTTCCCAGACGCCCTGGAAGAGCTGCACGTTTGATCCTGGGCCACTGTGTTCGCTGAGCCTCCCAGACGGGGACCCGGAGCTGCTGTCCCCGCAGCTGCAGGCCCCCTATTCCAGGGGCACAGAGCCCCTCAGCTCCCCCGGCCTCTCCCAGCACGCCCCGGCAGCCCAGGAGTACCTGCCTTTCTTCCGCACCTACGGGCAGCTCCAGGACGAGGAGCAGCTGGCCCTGCGGCCCGCGGTATACGGGGACGGAGGAGCGGCGCTGTCCCAGGAGGACTCGGCGCAGCCCTGCGGCTTCTTCCCTTACTACCACTCCCAGGACAAGCATTTCCCCAGCCTGGCCCCTCCTGGCTGGTCACATGGGGCCTCCCAAGACCCCCTCCCCACGAGGGTGGCCCAGGCGGGCAGCTGCTGCAGGACGTCAGCCAGGGACGCACACGCTGTGAGTGGCGGAGGCTGCGGTGGGGGGCAGCCCCAGGCCCCTGGCATCCTTCAAGTCTCTGTCCCTGGGCCCAGACCCTGGTGGGTCTCTGTCCAGTCTCCCCTGGGAGCTGCTGTGTCCTGGGACTGTGTGTCACTGGCTAAGAGCACAGGGACGGATGGCAGACTGTCCCCCTGCGGCCGGCCTCTGCACTTGCTGGGAGAGGGGTCTGAGACTGTTAGAACCTCGCTTTCCTGAACCAAGAGAGGCTGTAGGAGGCGCCACTCAGAGCCACCCCGGGAGGCTCGCGTGTGCACAGCGAGGGCTTGGTGTGACGCCGGGCTCACAGACGCACCTGCAGGACACACAGGCGCTTCAGTGCATCCTGGCATTTGATTCCAACACGGTCCCTTTGGGCGGGTTGTCTTGTTATTTCCGTTCTCGGAGCAGCCAGGTGCCTAGTCCATGGATGCGTGACTAAGACAGCTGGGATGTGACCCACAGCCCGTGCCCTGCACCATGGCTGATTGTCACCGCCAGTGCCTCTGCGTCTGGTCATCGCAAAGATGGAGGTGGGAGCTGTGGCTTCTGGGCCCCGTCACACCTCCTGGCTGGTGGCCTTGGCGAGTTGGTGACGTCATCCTGGGCTGTCTCTTCAGTGCTTTCTTCCTTGAGTGCCCCCGTGGTGGTGCAGGCACGGCCAGTGTGGGCCGGGACCTGGGAGCTGGGCCTGCTGCTGGCTGACCCATCGTTTCCTTCAACCCAGGCCACCTCTGCAGGCTCGGCCTACACCCCTGGCTCCGCACACGCTCCAGCCTGCTGCAGCCTCCTGCTGGCCTCAGCAGGGTGCCCCTGCGACTGTGCCCCGAACGCCCAGCTCTGCAGGGTCCGCAGCCTCGAGGCCGCAGGCTTTGTGCCCTACTACAGAAGCCACGAGGAGAGGCTGCGCACCAGCCCCGGGCCTCCGGCCCCTCCATCGGGAAGCCAGGAGATCTCCAGGGGGCTGCCCAGGCCTGGTGCAGCCACACCGTGAGGAGCAGGAGGTGGAGAAGGGCTCCCCACACCCCCTGATCAGCGAGGGCCATTGTTCCCAGCGCCAGGGACACTGATGTGGGGTATCCCACCCCCCTGTCTGCCTGCAGGAAGCCCCCTGGCCCTTCTCACTGCTCGGCGTCTGGCTCAACAGGCCTGGGGTCTTTGTCCTGGAGGAGCAGAGGCAAGATGATGAGCCCATGCCCCATGTCAGTCCCCTCCCTGTCCTCCCAGGAGCACCCACTTCTCCGTCCCAGCTGGAATCCCTGCCAGTGGGCAGCCAGCAGCTGCACCCAGAGCCGCACCACAGGGGAGCGTCAGTGCTGCCCGGTGCTCAGGCCTCCTCACAGTGCTTCCACGGCCTGGCCCAGGCCGGGGCCGAGCAGCGGGGGCCGTCTGAGCTACAGAGGGGTGTGCACACGCACAGCCTGGTCTTGTAAATAAATCATTTCACTGCAGGCGTCGAAGCTGGAGCCCTAATTCGATGCTGTAGAGAAGCACTTGCAGGTCCTGGGTGCCTCACAGAGGTCACTCCCTGATCCCTGGGGGTCGACACTGGTGTCGTCTCTGTCGTGTGGGTAAAGGAGTGGGCGCAGAGAGGTTCAGGAGTGAGCCCGCGCGCGCACAGCACAGTGGAGCTCTGTCTGGCCTCAGCGCTGAGCACGCAGCCCACCTCCCACTTTCCTCTCCTTGGGGTCTGTGCGTGGAAAGCAGAGAGCTGGGGGCTGCCTCCACTGGACCCGACCCCCTGTCACTTTGCTCATTACCGCCACATCGTTCCCTGCCCTGGCCCTGGCCCAGCTCCTGGCTGCTAGGCTCTGCCTAGCACCATGTCTTGTGGTGGCCCAGCCCAGTGTCCAGCCCGTGTGACAAAGCCTTGTGGCTGATGCATGTCAGGAGAGGGGCGTGTGCACTCGCCCCACCCAGTCCTGGGACCAAACACACAGATGTTGGCTCCCATTTGAAATGTCTTTAAAAGCTGTATTTATTTGAAAGGCAGAGTGACTGACAGAGAGAGATTGGGAATCTTGTCTGCTGGATCATACTCCCCAAATGGCCATGCCAGCCAGGGCTGGGCCGGGTCACAGCCAGAACTCCATGCAGGTCTCCCAGGTGGGTGACAGACACTCAAGCAGCTGGCCATGGTCCGCTGCCTCCGGGTGCTAATGTGAGCAGGAAGCTGGGTGGGAAGCAGGAGGCAGAGCTGCATCCCAGGCAGCTCCCTGTGAGATGCAGGTGTCCCGAGTGGCAGCTGAACTCTCCCTGCCACAGGGCCCAAGCACGTTTGGAACGTCTTCAGTGTCCAGTCACACTTGTTTGTCCCATGATCACTGAGCTCATGCCACTTCCTGGGACACTCGTGCTGGGTCCCTGCCACTTCCTCCTCATAGGGATGCCTGCACCCTAACCCTAACCCTAACCCTAACCCTAACCCTAACCTGCACCTGCTGCAGTTCGGAGGGCGGGGAAGCCAAGGAGGAGGGGCAGCAGGCATGCTTGGTCACACTTGAGTTGCTTTGCAGAACCACTGTTTAAAAAAATCAGACTTTGAGTGTTTCTGAGGCACTTCTCGGACTTGGCTTTGCAGGGAGACCTGGGGTTGGTGGTACATGGGGAGAAATGAAGATGCTCACTGGCCACGTGCTTTTGTGGGCCGACTGGTCTGTTCCGGTTTATTTTCCACGGGGTGGGGCTGGGCTTCACCTGGAGCTGACATTGTTGGGCTCTCAGTGTCCCCAGGGAGACAGGCTGGGAGGGATCCATGTGCGTGCTAGGGACTGGGGCTGCTCTGTCGCGTGCAGCGCAAGCTCGTCCCATGTGCATGGCATCCGGGGTCCAGTAGGGACAGGGGGCCTGCAACCACCTGTCGCCAGCTCCTAAGGGGGCCCGGGGGCCTGGCGTGCTCGTGGGGCCTACAAGGAGGCTCCTGGCATTTTCCAGGCTAATGCAGTCTCTGCAGGGAGTGGTCTTCAGGAAGGGTCTGGGCAGGGGATCCTGGGGAGGAGTTGGGCTGAGCTGTACCTGCAGTTTGCAGTTTGCTTCCCGTCTGCCCAGCAGGTGAGCGCTGGGAGCTGTCCGTGTGCTGATGCGGTGTGAACACACCTGGACACCTGGGCCTCGGCCAGGGCAAGGGGGACCGTCCCCAGTGCCATCCTGTGTGCTGGCCGTGGTGCTGAGGCACCGTTGCCAGTCCTGCCACCATCCAGGAGATGTGTAGGCTCGGACTGGTAAACAGCCAGTGCATGAATGCGGGTGGCGAGCAGGGGCGCCTGTGTCCAAATACCTCCTTGGCTCTCGTGTTCTGTGTTGTTCGGCTTAAATTAGATCACCGTCTTGTGTAATTGATGAGTTCAAAACTTGGTGGTTTAACACAGCAGTGAACACAAGTGTCCCCATCAAGTGTTGAGGGCCAGGTGTCGGGGAGCACGTGGTGGCCTGAGGAGGGTCCCCACCCACTTCCCGTGGGGCGGGACTGAGGCCGTCACCCACAGACTCGTGTCCTCACCCAACCCTGTCACCAGAGTTCTCAGGAAGCAGACTCCGACCTTGCAGCCTCTCCCTTCCATGGCCGCGAGGGCCTGGGGCCTGCTACCCCCCGCCTGACAGCCCCTGCTCCCCGCTGTGGCCTGCCGCGCCCTCCCCAGCACCACCACGCGTCAACACCCAGCTCTTTGTGAGGCTTCAGCCCAAGTGCCCCCTTCTCCCCCCAGCTGCGGGTTCTGCTCTCTGACCCTCCCTACAGTGCCGGCCGCCTCTACTCTTCCACGGTCAGGCCCAGTGTGAGGTTCCCGCTGTCCCCTAGCCCTGCAGCTGGCGTCTGAAGGCAGCAGGATGGAGGAGAGTCACCGCCCGTTCCTGACCAGCGCTGCCACCTCCTCGGCCTCCAGGCAGTGTAGCTCCCAGGGGGCACGGGCAGGTGCAGAGCACAGCTTCTAGATGCGACCTGGCGCTTTCCCAGGTGTCTTCTCCCACAAATGATCCATAACTGCAGCTCTCCCCAGCCTGGCCTCCTGGTCCCCTGGCCTGCCCACCCTGCCCTGCACTCGGCAGCAGCTCATGGACCTGTTATCTGGCCTCGGCCACCAGGAGCCGGTCAGGGAAGAAGGGATGGAGGGCAGCCCAGGGCACCAGGACGGCACTTGGGGAAGGCTGATGACCGAGCTGCCTGCCCTGGAGCCCCGGGAGCCCCAAGACCATGCTCCATTTGGCCAGCGTTAACCTTGCCTTGCTGACAGTGGAGAAACCAAGGCAGAGAAGTTGGGACGCTTACCAGAGGGGCAGAAAGGGGGCAGCGGCCTTTGGAAAAGTAGTTTCCATTTCTGAGTCTTGGCCAGAGGCCAGTGCTCACTCACAAGCTTGTGTCCTGGGCTTGGACAGCAGGATGAACCCATAATCCTTCCCTGCTGGCTGTGTGGCTTTGGAGAAATTGCTTAGCCTCTCTAAGCCTCATTCTCCTCCCCTGAAAATGGAGAACTGCCTTGCATGGTCAGTGCGGTGGTCTAAGTGGAGTGCACGGCCTGGCAGCTCGGAGCCCTGAGGTGCAAGAGCCCTGGCCAGCGTGGCTCCACTGAATCAAGGCAGGTGCAGGGGTGGGGCCGGCAGGGGGTGCATATCTCCGTGGCAGTGCCCTCCCTGCTGAGAAACTCAGACCAGTCCCCCTTCAGGGGTTCACCCTGGCACCCTCGGGCTCCCATCTGAGCCTCCTGAAGCAGCACCTCGTTCATTGCCCAAGAGTATGCTGAGCCTGCTTCTCCCAGGAGAATGGGCCAGGAAACACCCCCAGGAACAGCCAAGCCCGGCTCACCCAGCCCAGCGCCAAGTGCTGTGCGGCAGCGCCCTCTTCTGGCACGTCCGGGTACGACGCCACAGCTGCACCGCGGATTCCCAGGCCCCTATGGACAGCACGGAAGAGGGAAGCCTCCCTCCCTCCCAAAAGACAGAGGACGAAATCGAGGCCTAGATTTTCCCAGGAGCCTCAGCGCCAGGCTACTCTGCCCCTCCTGTTGCAGCCTCTAGCTTGTCTCCTGTCAGCACCACACTGGACAGGTGGTGGGTCACCTGCAGCCTGAGCAGGCCCTGACCCCCCCTTCTCCTAGAGATGTCAATCAGCAAAGGAGTCCCGCTGCCCACGACAGGTGCACGCGGCGCCTCCAACATCACATATGCCCTTTTCCTTCCCGCAGCCACAGGGGGAGCAGGGGCAGTTGGACCGGGAGTGGCTGGCCCCGGACCCCCGTCGCTGTGGGAGGTCTGAGTCTGCTTCCTGAGAACTTTGGTGGCAGGATTGGAACCTGGGGGAAGGACTGCCAGCTGCCTGGGGGCCAGGGCAGGAATAAAGCAGCGGGAACCGCAGCGTGTGCCGGCCGTGCAGTCACTTAGTCACACCCAGCCGCCAGCAGCTGCTGCCCGCCTCTGCACAGTAGAGCCCAGGAAAGTGGCAGCGGACACATGCCCCAGATCCTGCCCCCCTGGAGCAGGCAGCCAGTGCACAGGGACTGTGCAATCCGGCCCCGGGCTGCAGGAAGAAGCAGGAGTGCCTCGAGAGAGGCCTAGGCCTTGCAGGGGGTCTGGAGAGGATGTCTCAGCTTAGAGGGGCAAAGGGAGAAGGCGCTGCCAGCAGTGACCATCACCTGTGCAAAGGCCCTGGGGCAGAAGCTGGGCGTTTGTGAGCTCTGGGGAAGGCCCAAGGAGAAGCCCCCTTCTCAGGACTCAAGTGGTGGCCTCTTCAGCCCAGCTTGCATCTGGGCTGCCTGTTTGGCTGCCAGCTGTGGGCAGGCCCTTCAGACTCTGCCCTGTGGCCGCCCCATAGAAGGCCCAGCTGACTGACAGCTAACCGGGCTCTACAAGTCCGATGTCCTATTCTCAGTGGGCCTACAGCCTGGGAGGCCAAGAGCAGGGGTAGCTACAACATATATGCAGAATATTCCAGATGCGCATCTGTGTGCCAGCAGACCTAGCATAGATGGGGAGGGGAGTGCTTCAGAGATGGGACAGCCGGGTGGGGCCTCGCAGAAGTAGAGGGCAGGGTTAGGCAGTGGGGAGGGGCAGGCGTCCCTGCAAGGGAGCAGCACACACATGGTTGTCCAGGGGCAGAGAACTGGGGTGCTGGGGTGTGAGAAGGGAAAAGGCAGTCAGACCCAGGCCCACAGACCTGGGCATGCCAGCCTGGCGTGTGGAATCCATTCCCAAGGCCACGCCAAGTCTCCACACAGAGGAGGGCAGGAGCGGGTTTGCAGTTTCAGAAGGTCAGAGTGCAGCAGCCAGAGGGTGGCCATTGGCCTGGGGCAGAAGGACCCCGGGGCTCTGCCCACCATCCTCAACGAAGGCTGGATGTTGGGGTCACAGAGAAGGCAGAGCCTCAGGACTCCACGGCTGGTGAGCCGAGGCCTCGCGAGACACAGGAGCAGCAGATGACGAGCAGGGCTCTGGGCTGGGTTGAAGCCCACATCTCAGGGTG